GGGAACACAGGTTCGAACCCTGTCTGGGAAGATCCCACATGCCATGGAGCAGCTAAGCCCGTGCGCCACAACTACTGACCCTGCTCTCTAGAGCCCACGAGCCACAACTCCTGAGCCTGCGTGCCACAACTATTGAAGCCTGCTCGCCTAGAGCCCATGCTTTGCAACAAGAGAAGCCACTGCAATGAGAAGCCCACGCACCACAACGAAGAGTAGCCCCCACTCGCTGCAACTAGAGAAAGCCTGTGCGCAGCAACGAAGACCCAACACAGCCAAAAATAAAATAAATTAAATTAATTAATTAAAAAAAGAAAAAAAATTGGCTCAGCATTTACCAAACTGATTTAATCACAAGACCTTTTTAAAAAAATTAAAACACTTACTGGGAAACACTGATCTAAAACAGGGATCAGCAAACTGTCTCCTAAGGGTCAGATAGATACTTTAGCGTACTGTCCCTGTCAAAACTACTCCACTCAGCTCTGCCATTGTATCCAAAAAGCATGAGTGTATTCCAATAAGGCTTCATTTATGTATACTAAAATTCGAATTTCGTATAATTTTCACGTGTCATGAAATAATATTTTTCTTCTTTTTTTTTTCAATCATTTAAAAAGACAGAAACCATTCTTAGCCTGCAGACCATTCAGAAACAGGTGGCAGGCCCAATTTGGTCTGTGAGCTATAGTTTACTGACCCCTGATCAAAAATAATGTTTGGATGGTATGTCTTCCAGCAAGTTTCCCTGAGTACCATTCCTCAGAGTTGTTTTATTTTTATATTATTTTTTGTGTGTGGTGGTTAATTTTTTTTTAATTTTCAAAAAATTTTATTTTACTTATTTTTATACAGCAGGTTCTTATTAGTTATCTATTTTATACATAGTGTATATACGTCAATCCCAATCTCCCAATTCATCCCACCACCCCCGCCTCTCCCCCCTTGGTGTCCATACATTCTCTATATCTGTGTCTCTATTTCTGCCTTGCAAACCGGTTCATCTGTACCATTTTTCTAGATTCCACATATATGCGTTAATATACGATATTTGTTTTTCTCTTTCTGACTTACTTCATTCTGTATGACAGTCTCTAGGTCCATCCACGTCTCTACAAATGACCCAGTTTCATTCCTTGATGAGTAATATTCCATTGTATATATGTACCACATCCTCTTTATCCGTTCATCTTTCGATGGGCATTTAGGTTGCTTCCATGAGCTGGCTATTGTAAATAGTGCTGCAGTGAACATTGGGGTACATGACTCTTTTTGAATGATGGTTTTCTCTGGGTATATGCCCAGTAGTGGGATTGCTGGGTCATATGGTAATTCTATTTTTAGTTTTTTTAAGGAACCTCCATACTGTTCTCCATAGTGGCTGTATCAATTTACATTCCCACCAACAGTGCAAGAGGGTTCCCTTTCTCCACACCCTCTCCAGCATTTGTTGTTTGTGGATTTTCTGATGATGCGCATTCTGACTGGTGTGAGGTGATACCTCATTGTAGTTTTGATTTGCATTTCTCTAATAATTAGCGATGTTGAGCAGCTTTTCATGTGCTTCTTGGCCATCTGTATGCCTTCTTTGGAGAAATGTCTATTTAGGTCTTCTGCCCATTTTTGGATTGGGTTATTTGTTTTTTTAATATTGAGCTGCATGAGCTGTTTATATATTTTGGAGATTAATCCTTTGTTGATTCGTTTGCCAATATTTTCTCTCGTTCTGAGGGTTGTCTTTTTGTCTTGTTTATAGTTCCCTTTGCTGTGCAAAAGCTTTTAAGTTTCATTAGGTCCCATTTGTTTATTTTTGTTTTTAGTTCCATTACTCTAGGAGGTGGGTCAAAAAACATCTTGCTGTGATATATGTCCAGAGTTGTTTTAATTTAGACTTTTATGTTTCTGGCTTAAGAGCAGATTTTCTTAAAAAAGTGTAGTAGAGGATTGGTTTGAGTGCTTACAGGCTAGTCTAAGGTTTTTCTCAGAAACGATGTGTGGGCCCTCTCAAAAATGACATTTGCAAACTAATAGTTGAAGCCTTAAAGTTTTACTGTGTCACACATGGCTGAATTGATTTGAGGCTGGAAGTGTTTTAATGGGCATTATTATTCATTCATAGAAATAAAAGTCTCAAAACACCCAGAGACATTTGATTTTAAGAAAATATAACTTCTCACTCAACTCTCCATGTAAACCAGTAAACTGTGGCCCCCATCAAACTAAGAGTATTTTTTATTTTAACTTGAGGAACGTTCTTTCAGTTTCTTATGTTGTCATTATGATGGTTGATGGAGAACCCAAACTTTCCCACCACCAAGTCTAACATTTCAGCTTCAGTTCAACGGGTATTTATTGAGTACTCAGGATATACAGTGCATTTTGCTGGCTTCTATGGGGGATACAAAGAGGAACAAGAAGCAGACAGCTCCCTCTTTACCTTATGAATCAAGTTCAGGATCCTCACCAATTTAGAGCCCATTACCATGGTATCAGGATTAATTTCACTTCCTTGTCTCTTCCTGTCAGCATGCATGCATTCATTCATTTAACAAACATTTGTGAGTTGCAACCTCTGTTCATAGCACTGTAACACAAAGCCCTCCAAGAGCGTGCTTTCCAGGGTACATCGGTGTTTCTCTTTTCCTCTGGCACTCTTGTGTAATTACAGTTTCTTTTACATAGTGAAACATTATTTCTTTATCTCCTGAGACCTCAGCATTTATGTTCCCCACACTGTATGTGCCTATTCTTGAGATGTTTAGTGAGAAGAGTGAATCTTCTGGTGAAGCACCCTTCCTGGGACTGTGCTCTAAGTGCTCTTTTCCCTCCACCTGAGTGGCACCCACCTTTCCCTGTCCCCTTTTCTTGGTGTACCAGTGAGTATATAGTTTTACCAGATTCATCATTTTAAAGCTGTTAGCTGTATTAAGCAATAGGAGTCTGTAAGATTGTTGAATATCCTTATAAGCATTATTATGTATCTGATTATTTTTTGATTGGAGGAGATTTTATACAGTGTTAATTTTTTCCACTTATAATAGTAATACTAATCATAGTGCGAATTTGAAAAATATGGACAAGTATAAAGGAAAAATATTAATCCATAATTCTACTACCCATCAACCAATTCTATTAACAATCTTTTTTTACTTTCCTTGATTCAGAAATCACATTTAAAATTTTTAAAAATTTAATAAACAGTAAAATTGACCTTTATTTGTTGTACAGTTCTTTGAATGTTGACACATGTAGGTTCACGTAGCCACCACCACAATCAAGATACAGAAAAGCTCCATTCCCTCAGAACAAGCACCCCTTTTTAATCCCACCTTCCCCAAGCCCTGAAAATCACTTATGTCTCTGTTATATAATTTTGTCTTTTTGAGAATGTCATATAAATGGAATCATAGACTATATAAGCTTGTGAGAGTGGCTTCCTTGACATAATACCTTTGAGATTCATCCAAGTTGTTGCATGTATAGTAGTTTGTTCCTTTTTGTTGCTCAGTGGTATTCCATGGTGTAGATGTACCATAGTTTAGTTATCCATTTATCCACTTACCATTTAAGAGTCTTTTTTAAAAAAACATCTTGACATTTCTGAAATCCTGAAGTACTTTAAAATCAATGTATATATTTAACGTGCTCGGGGTTTTTGTTTCCCCAAAAAGCTATTATTGAATTGATAGTGTGTCCTAGAATTAATACTGTCTTAGAATCAAGGTATTATGGTGGTGAGATGATCAGTGTGGAGGATCAGAGAGGGCTGGTGAAGGGTTATCAGGAATAAGGGAACTGAACAGTAAGGGGACAGGTAAAGGAAGGCCTCGAGAGGTTTGCAGCCCGGCGCCCAGAGCTGCTTGGCAGCCTGTGAGGGCTTTGGGGAAGTTTTGAGCAGAAGAGCAACATAGGAAATAAGACTTTAAGAACAAAGCCAACTAATTGTGGTGACTTCCAGGATGTCCACCATCATGAGTGTTGATGAGGCGGGAGGGGACCGGGGAATGGCAGCAGTGGGGCTGATAGTACTGGAGGGAGTGGAGGAAGAACTTGAGGAGAGTGCAGTGGGGGCAGGGAGTGCTGACTAGAGAGCCTGTGTGTGGGGAAGGGAGGGTGGTTCCTGCTAAACACCCTGACTTCCAGGCCAGTGCCCCAGAAGACGGGGCAGGAGGTGTGGAGAACTTAGGACCGACTGCCCAAATCTTAGTTATTTATATGGTGTGAATGGGTAGGTTGGGTGGGTCATGTTATTTGGGAAATTCTAAAGCAAAATGAGAACGTCCAGGGGCTTCACAGATTAAGAATGAGGTGTGCCTAGGGATACTGTGTGGAGATAAAGAGGCATAGGGTGTACTCAATTATGTGAGCCTGGATGAAGTATATGATTATTTCATGGAAATAAACTGTGATTAGGGCCATTTCCAAGTAGAATGGCATCATGGCTGATTGTATGGGCCCAAAGTTTTCTGCACAACCTATTCTTGAGTCCCATCTCCCTGTGTCACAAGCTAGACGGTTTATTCTTTGGCACACCCCACTTTTGCAAGATAGGAGAAGGAGTAGTAAATCATCCTCATATGATCCTTGAAGGACAGGTTCCCATCAGCCACTGAGGAAGAGGGAGGCAAAAGAAAGAACTGACTGTTGGAGAGTAATTTGCCAAAGGGACTTGCCCCTCTTGTCAGGTAACTTCTTGGGAAGCCCCATTCATGGAAGCCGCCTCACTTCCACCCGCTCACACCTGTTCTAACTCAGGATCAAGGAGAAGTAGGGGCCAGTCAGCAGAGAGAAAGAGAAAGACACTCAGAGACAGTACGGAGCCTTGTTATCTTCCCCCAGTTTGCATTTTATTAAAGATCCCCTGTTAGACAAGAGAGAAGTTACTCCCCACTTTGTCTACCGTTTATACATTTGCAAAAGAGCCGTTCTTTAAAGCTGTACTACAGTGGGGTAAAGTTTCTGTTATTTGTGGCCTTGCTAATTATGTCTTCAATCTTCCCTAGAAAAGACTGTGTCTTCACCATCGACCCATCAACTGCCCGAGACCTCGATGACGCCCTCTCCTGCAAGCCCGTCGCTGACGGTAGGATGGAATCTTCTCTCCCCCTCTAGGTGGCAGGCAGCGGGCACCCCTGTGTGGCCACCCTGGCTGCCGGGTACTCCCTGAACTTGCCGTAGGCCCCTGAGCCTACACAGCATGCGACCTAGAGATTGTGCTCCTGACCGACTTCAGTGAGCGTGAGAATAAGAAACGTCCTCTTGCTAGGACCCTTCTCGGGCCTCAGGAGGGACAGCAGTGAGGGCAGAAGAACTAATTTCAGGCCCGGCCCTGCAGGAGGCTCCAGTGAGGGCATAATGTGTTAAAGAAGGCCCCTAAGCTCTGCTTCGGAGAAGCACAGAGTTTTTTTTACCTGAATTGAACGACACACTGGGGTGATTCAAGGGGTGCTGTCCAAAGACGTGCTCAGCAGAGGCGGCAGGAACACCTCCCCTGAGGAAGCCCCTCACGGCCTGAGCTGGAGAAGCTTGCTCTGCCCCGCGTAGGTCTTCATCTGTCCAGCAAATTGCAGAAGGCAGCTGTTAGAGGCTCCTGAAACATTCTTTGGGGATGGAGCCAGGAAGTAAAAAGTGGGATTTGATGCTACTGGTCTTTGAAAACTATCATAGCAGGAGGGGGAAATGTGTGAGGTGTGAGAAGAGCAAACCCTAGCCATGCCCTTCCTAATGCCCCTCCAGATGAGCCACTTAGAGTCTGGAGCTGCTTCCTGCCCCTCACCGGGGTGGGGTCTGGTGACTGCTGTGGCTTTAGTTATTCTCCGATATGGCTTTGGCACTAACGTGGCCTTTGATGGCTTGCCCATGACGGTATGCAATCTTGCGGCTTCAGTCTCCTGCACAGTGTTGGTGGCCCAGTGGCCTGGTCTTGGCAAACACTGCACAGATGTTCACATATTCCATTAATGCAAAACTTCATGGGCTCAGCGTGTTGTCTCTTCTCCATAAAAGACAGTGAGGCTCAGTAGATACAAAGCTGAGAGACAGAAAACATCACTGCCCAGAAATGCTTTCATCTTCTTTTAGTGAGTCTTCCTTGAAACTGTGGGCAATTGTGCTCAGTGTTTTCAACTAAAGAAAATTGAAAGGAAGATAAAGCATAAAGAGAGAAAAGTTCCCACGGAAATTTCAGAGGAATTATATATTTTTTAAATCTAAACTTTAAGCAGCCTACTTAAAAAAGCAAATACTACGTTGGTTTCTTATATCCTGAGCAATCTTTGCTGCATGGAGAGGCTTGGGCATATCACTCTCACATCCACTTCTCTGAGTCCCAGTTGAAAAGTGCCCCCCCACCCCCGGCAGAAAGCCAGGTGACACTGGACCTCACTTCCTGTATTTCCTTTCTCTCCAGCTTCATAGCCCTGCTCTGTTTGTAGCCTAATGCTTGGAAACAGTTGCTACATTTATTTTGGCACGTCTATAGTCGTTAATGGTGGAAGGGTAGGCCTAATCCCTGTTACCCCATCTCAGCCAGCTCACATGATATCCCCCTTGCAGGGGCACCAGGGAACAGGCACGTGTCTTGCCCACTCACCCCGCACGCTACGTGTCGTGTGTAGGGTACCAGGTTACCAGCAGAGGCTTCGTGTAGGGAAAAGGTGGAGCAGGAAGGATTGACTGGGGACAAGTTGTACATGTTTATAGATTTCCAACCGAAGAATATGCTTTGTCAGACAGTCGAAAACCAATTGTTTTCAACGTGCTGTTCAGGGAGAGCATTCATAATGAGGGAAACCATTTAGCAGTGCAAGATGAAGGAAAAGGAGAGGAAGTAGAGGCAGAGAAATGAGTCAGAGAAACATTATAATTGTTTAGAGATGTAGGTAGAAGAAACTGAACTGGAGGTGGTGGCATTATTATTAATGGGGGTGGGGAGGACAGCTGTGAAGAAGGAGTAATGACAGAAAAGAATCAGTGGAAATGGATTTGGAGTTGAGGGAGGGGAATCCAAGACGGGGCAAAAGTTTCAACCTGGATGGCGAGGAGATGGAATCGACAAGTTAGAAATGGGGAAATCAGGAGGAGCAGCTGGTTTCGGAGAGAGCATGTCTGCATGGAGCTGTCTGTCTGATGATATGTGTTTATATAAGCTGCTGCAGGTGCTCTGCAGAGGAGGCTAAATGCGTGCAGTCCATCTAATCATATACAGAGAGCCATGAAGAAGAGTAGATAACTCAGCAAAATGCAAACAGTGATTTTATTAGGATGACGGGTTCATAAGGGATTTTTCTCTTTTCCCTAGTTTCCAAATTTTTATAATGTGATAATAATAGGTTCATAATGAAAAAATTTTGTAATAAAAAAAATTATGAGGTGCCAGAAATCACAGGCTGCCCAGTAGCCGCTGCACCAGGTGATCAGATACCTCCCGTCTGCTTAGTTATTCTTGCATTCCGGGGGAGTAATTAACATCTGGTCATTTGGCAGAGCAGTCGGGGAAGAGTCTGAAAAGGCCTGAGTTGGGCAGTCAAGCGTTTTTATGGTGGCACTTCTACAGTTGGCCTTTGTGACAGCTGTTTCCGCCAAGGCCATTTATCCAGGGAGATGAAAAGTGAAAGTCAGTTCCAGCTTGGATTGGGGTGAGGCTGGCTGAGTTCAGGCTCTGGTAGTTACCAGTTCATGTCAGTTCTTGCTTAGAGGAAAAAAAGTTTAATGTTTCAAAAAGCAAATAATGTTTTCTGGGCATATTTACGTCATCTGTAACCATTTTTATTTAAAGAAAATATAAAGGTTAAACTTTCCTTTGGTCCCATTGAAATCATCTGAATGACTCTTCTGTGAAGATAAAACGCACAGACAGAAGTAACTTATTTAGTCCTTACTCTCTCTTTCTGTAGAGTTCAGATGAACCCCCAGGACTTGTTACCAGTATCTCCTATAGGTGCGAGATTTAGACATTCCGGTCTGCAGGTGAATTCTGCAGAAACACAGTGACACCTGCTCCCCAGTAGGTCATGTTTAGGTTGGAAGGCTGAGGAGGGGCTGCCCTCTACCCTTGAGGAATCTCAGCTTTGGAAGAGATTCTACCAGTCATCTAGCCCGGTAATTTTTCACCTCTTACAGCCTATAAACACACTTGAGGGCAACATTCCCATGAGCATTAACCAGCCCGCTAACTTTAACATGGAGTCTTTCACTTTAGCTCAAGAAGGTATTTAATAATGTAAGTGAGTAAGACTGGTTATAATGATAACCCAGAACCTAAAGACAGTAACTCACACACTCCAGTGTTTGATTACTGTAACAGACCTTTGCAACACACCGCACAGTTGACCTCACCGCTCAAGTGTGGGAGTGCCACAGTTGTCACATCACCCTCCGGTTTTCAGATTACCTCTACAGCATCTACTTACTGAATATCCAGGTTGCACTTTAACTCTCTACCTTACAGGCAGCCCATTTGGCCTTAAGATTGCGTGACTATCAGGAGATCCTTCCCTGTAATGACCTGAAATACCACTGTCTTCCTGTAATTTTCCACTCATTGGTCCCATGCATGCCCCTTGGGAGCCTATAGAATAAGTCTCGTCTCTCATGTGACAACTCCTCAGATACTAGATAATGGCTGTCATGTATATCTGAATTACAGCTTCCCAGTTAAGCATCCTGTATATTTTTCTATGTCCTGTAGCGTATTAAATTTGAGCCCATTTCCCATGTCACGGTGTTACTTCTGCCTTTATGAGCTCTGAGGTAAATGGCTGCCCGTATCCAGACTTCTCCTCCCTGGCTGCCAGGCCACAGTGACTCTCTCCCAGCCACTTCCAGCCACCTGTTCTGTTCAATTAAACCTGCATTATTGCTTTGTTCTAGTCTCTGAGAGAGGAAATTATCAGTCAGACAAGTCAGGACCTTTATTCAGCTTTTAGTTGATTCAGGCTCCCAACAGATCCTACAGGAAATTGATGTTCCCTGCTTCTCTGGCGTCTTGTTTCTCTAATGTTTTGTTCTGTAATGAGTGCTCTGCCATTGAACATGGCAGGGTTATCCTAGCCAGACCTTAGAAATGAAGGATTGGAGAAAGGGGGAGTGGGGACTGACTGCTAATGGGTTTGGCGTTTCTTTGGGGGGGTGATGAAAATGTTCTGAAATTACTAGCTCAGAGTTATACTCTGAGTATACTGAAAACCACTGGGGGGAAATGAGTGAATGGATGAATGAATTAAGAATAAATAAACAAATCCATTCATCCTTGAGGCTTTTTGGAAATTGGAATTTACACCTTAACGATAACTTAGCAGAAGTCTTGATGGATTGCCTGGGCTGGATACCCAGAGTCGTATCCCTCTTACCCATCTCTCCTCCTTGCCGCCTTCACCTCTGAACCACGAAAATCCCACCCAAGGAGCGCACCCCTGTGCTCAGCTACCTGCTCGTCTTTCCCACCCCCACAGAGGGCAGCCATCTGACTCAAAGTAAGAGGGATGTGTCCTACTGTCCAGGTATGAGAAAGTGCTGAGGTCATCCAGCCTGAGGGACCTCGGGAATGCACACTACCTGCCCTGCTGTAGGGGGCGCCAGACTTCCTGCTGGTTTGCCTCTTGTCTGGCTTTCCCTTTCCCTTCCCTGAGGAGGATGGACTAGGCAGCTCTGTTCCTGGGAGCCCTTCTCACTTAGGAAATAGGAACAAGAGACTAGGAGAAAGTCTGTACGAATTTCACAGAATTCCTACACTCTGGACTTCCCCGTATGGTTGTATGTGTCACCTGCTGAGAGTTCTTGTCACGAGTGATCTTCTTTGGAGGCAGTGAGGAAGTGGGAGCTGGAAAGACTGTGCTCCCCTGGCTTAGGCTGGAGAGCCTGAGCAATAGGATGGATGGTAGTAATTTTAATGAGCGAAGAGCAGAGACGAAGGCTCTGGATCTGTTGCTGGGAAGGAAGAGAGCATGGGTGGGCGTCCTGGAGCTTACGAGTACAAGGTTCCAGCAAATCGCAGCAGCCAGGCCAAACCCTCTTCCTGGGCTCTGTTCTCACCTCTGGGAAGATCTTACCCCACCAGGCATTCACCGCAGCCCCTTTATGTTT